GCCAAGTGTTACCTGTATCTGGAGCGGGGGACTCCCGGCTTGCTCCGGGAGTGCGCGCACGTCACCCAGAAGTGACATGACGACGCTGGGCATGCTGGGGGTGGGGCCACGACCATCTGAGGGAAAACCGTAGAGTTTCCCCTCGGATGACTGTGGCCCCGCCCCCAGCATGCCCGGCGGCGTCACGTCACTTCCGGGTGACGTGCACGTCGGGGTGGGGTTCCCCCCCCAGGGCCCGATTTGCCACCGGTGGGGAACGGGCCTTTGGGGCGGAGGTTTCCCTGCCCCCCAGGGGGACTTGGCAAGTCTACTTCACTCCCACTCCCCAAATAACTCTCAGTGCACATAAGGTTTGCTCGTTCCCGTATAGGTGATGGGTACCAAACAATCTTTTGAAGCCAAGAATACTTCTGAACTCCTACATTCACCCCATTCAAAACCCAGTCCCTCTTGCTACATTTCACAGGCCAGCTGGCCCACTGGAGACAGAAAATCTAAATGGCATCCTCTCACATGCTAATTCATGTGAAGTCCAACCCACCAGGGAGTTCTCTTACCATTTTGAAACAGGAATTGCAGCAAAGATCACAGAGAAGTGCCACCACCACTACTTCAGAGAAAGACAACAAGGCACAGAAATGGGAAAGCGTTTTATTAGTCTTCTTTAAAAACATGGTCAGTTGTGGTAACACCAATCCATTACATGCATCTTTGTGTCCTGACTATTTTTTATTCTAACGCCACAATACTCTCAAAGCTCTATGGTTTTGACCCACCAATATAGTGTTTGATTTATTTACAACATTGATAAACTCTTTCTGCCCTCACGAGGGCCACCTAGTCACAAAGGGCCACTCTTAGACAGCATTGGGGTGGGGCAATCCAGTACTCCAGACCCTGCTCTTTAAAAGCATTCTGATGGCAGGCCCCTTTGGCACAGCTGCTGGTCCCACCCTCTGCTCTCCTCAACCCTCTCCACTGTCAACTGAGGCAGCACCTTTCACATAATCAGATTTGGCACAAGAGCTGCCTTTTCTATTGCTTTGGGGGGAGAGAGGTGGCGAACATATGGCACGGGTGCCAGAGGTGGCACTCAGAGCCCTCTCTGTGGGCACGCGTGCCATCGCCCCAGCCAGGCCCAGACCATCATTAAAGTGTCGTATTCTCTGCCAAATAATTTTAAGTAATTGAAAGCATTTGGGATTGCTTTCCTTACTTTGTTTGGATCATCTTAAGTTAATGTATGAGTTGTTTTTTCTAAAGTAAAACCTCAGTATTCAGGTTAAATTGCCGTGTTGGCACTTTGCAATGAATTAGTGGGGTTTGGGTCACAGTTTGGGCACTCGGTCTCTAAAAGGTTCGCCATCACTGCTTTAGGGGGAGAGAGGTGGCTTAGAATGCTGGCAAGTACCTGGAAAGCAATTTTTGACATTAATAGATTTTTCTGCTGCATGCAATCCTAAAGCAGACAGTTTCACAAATTCATTTCTTCATGGCTTCTCCCCATTTACTTTCTCAAGAGGAAAAAGGCAGCTTTGGATTTAATACTCTGTTTTGATTATTCTCTACTAAAAATAGGGTAAGGGTTCTGAGCATTTATTTAGAATAATTCTACTGTCCTCAAAAATAAAAAAATACAGAAAAACATTTAGGGTGGAATTGTAGGATTCTGTAAACATATTAACAGAATACAAGCAATGCTCCCTCTAAGCTGTGGAGCCTTGTGAGCAAAAATTCTACTTTGTGAGCTACTGCCATTAAAGTTGTGAGCAAGCGATTTGGCTACAGCATAAATTAGTTTGCTCTGGGGCCATCCTTCCTAAGCTAAGACAAAAATGTGTGAGCTGCAAGCTAAAAAACTGTGAGCTAGCTTACACTAACTCAGCTTAGAGGGAACACTGAATACAAGATACAACTTTGTCACACTGCAAGAAACTTCTCTGCTTCCCTCCAAAGCTTTTTATAATACTAACTGTTGTTAAAAAAACCACAACCAAACAGGCAGAAGACTGCTGCTTTTGCTAGAATAAATTGTTTAGTCCCTTCCATTATTAATTTATCACATTTGGATCCAAGAAGCTCAAAGACGGCATACACAAACAGGCATTATTACATTTCATCCCTTAACAAGCCAGGTTAGACTGATTAAGTATAATTGGCCCAAGGCTAGCTGTGAGCTTCTCTGCTTATGGAATTTGAAACATGTTGTCTTGGTCTAGATCCAACACTCAAGTAACTGCATTTTGCACTCTTAAACCCTGGTTTCAAGCAAATAAGAAAGGCTTTAAGTTTATATATAAACAAAGAGGTTTAGCTGGCCTCAGAAGCCATTTAGGTGTGGGTCCACACTTCTTTGCCAGATGTACAAGACTCAGGAGGAACTGGTCAGCTTTTTACTTTATGTTGGGTTTTGAAGCCCCTTGGAAACAAAGCATTTCTTGCTGCTCAGTATCTCCAAAATGTAGAGGTGAGAGGAGGATTTCCACCCTCTGCTGAGTTCTTGTCATATGCCAAAGAACACACTGAGGAGAAAAGATGGTGTGTGTGTGTGGGGGGGGTCTCTTTCTCCCATGTAATTTTATAGACAAAATGGGGAACAGTGAACAGTTATTGCAAATACCTTGTGAAAATATCCCAACACTTCAGCTGTTGTTGTGCCCCCCCCCCCAATTCTGTAGCAGTAAAATCTTAGCTGTTGGAAAGGACACATTACAAAAATGTCAGAAACTGGAATCTTAAGGTGCTATTTTGTAGGAAAGGAAAGACTACAAGGAGTACTAGCCTTAGCATTTATGAAATCTAGGCAGCTGGGGTGTCAGCACTTTTCTTGTACCCGCAAGGCAAAGGACTGCCTTGGGACAAACACTTTCTCTTAGAAAGGGAGAAGTGCAGGGGGCTGGAGCTGGGGGGAAGGTAAGAACAGACCAACTAACAAGGGGCTAAGTAAGAATGGACCAAACAACAAGGTGGCAGTCTGAGAAGAGTCATGCTCAAATCGGCTGCTGGCCAGAACTTAGTGCAAGGCAAGTAGGAGCAAACTGGGAATTCCAAGATGGTCCAGCTGTCACAAGGTGGAACGATGGAGACAGCCCCAGAAATAGCTTAGTAAATCAGAACACTAGCATGCCATAAATCACCTTTAGGACACAGAGGGATACAGTCTGAGAACTGGGAGGGGTCTTATAGGCCATATAGCCCAACTCCCTGCTGAAAGCAGAAAGCTATTCTAGACACATGGCTTTAGCTAGACTCCAGAGAAGGAGAGCCCACCTATTTCCCTGCTTCAATGGCAACTGCTCTGACTGGTAGTTAGTTCCCCCTAATGTTCAATCATCATCAATATATCTAACTCTCAACATGGCCAGATCTGTTGAGAGTTAGATATATTGGTGACTGGAGCCATGAGCACACAAGTCAGATCTTTTTACAAACTTAAAAAACACTCCAGGTTTGCAGAAATATCTGAAATTTTAAAAATGAGGAATTAATCCTCCCAATAAAAACCTAGTACCTGACCTGGATAGCCCAGGCTAGCCTGATCTCGCCAGATCTCAGAAGCTAAACAGGGTCGACCCTGGCAAGTATTTGGATGGGAGACCTCCAAGGAATACCAAGGTTGTGACATGGAGGTAGGCAATGGCAAACCAACTCTGAATGACTCTTGCCTTGGAAACCTCATGAGGTCACCATAAGTCAGCTGTGACATGATGGCACTTTCTACCACAACCAATAAAAGAAACAGCTTCTGTAGCTTTAAAGAAACAAATGCCCTCAGTGGTTATAGCTAGGCAGCCATAACAGTACTGCCAGCCTTCAAGCCTTGGCTTCTGTCACTAAAAGGTAGGGGAGGAGGCAGGGCCTTTTCCAGGGCTATTACCATGCATCTTGCATGACTTACCCAGGACTGGCTGTTCTGCTACTGTTCAACAACATCCACCCCACAAGAGCCACTGTGGTGTTGTGCTTAAAGTTTCAGACTAGGAGCTGGGAGACCCAGGTTCAAATCTCCAGTTTGCCATGGAATCTGGCTGGTTGACCTTGGGCCAGTTACACATTCTCAGCTTAATGTACCTCACCGGAAAGCTGTGAGGATAAAATGGAGGAGAATGATGAAAGCAGCTTTGAATCCCCAGTGTGGAGACATGTGGGGCATAAATGAAGTCAATAAACGATAAATATAATTGAAGATGGGTAGCCAATAAAAGGTAGGTTGGTTGGTAGATGGGAAGGAGAGATGGAAACAGGGAAAGGTGAGGGGATATGAAGATTGCCAGGAGAAGGGAAAGAAGAAATATTGGGGGAAAGGAAAATGAACGGTCCCCCAGAAGTCCTTGTGGGTCCCCCGCTTGTCAAAATCTATTATCCTGCAACTTAAACAATACAGAGAAAAAGTTGTTGCACTCTTGCAAGAAGCATTAATACATTCAAATACATTTGAAATATTTTCCATTTGAAATACATTTCAAATACATTTGAAATATGTGGGGTGTGGCCATACTATTACTCCTGCACAATGGGGCTGTGCAGGCAGTGGGAGTGTATTACAAGAGGGTGCCAGAAGCTGTACAGATTGCCTTATTCCTACTGCCAGCTTACATAAATATACTCCATTTGGAAAAGCTGCATCCTAAGAAACAAATACAAAAGAGGGAGTTGGCCTCTATTATGCAGCTTACCTGCTTGCATTTCAGATTTCACAGTTACAGTGAGCACAAAGACAGACTATTAGACTTGCTTGTGTTTTTTGCCTCACATTAATTCACAAAAGTACTTTGACATTCAACACACACACACAACTATGGCATTTCTAAGGAAAAACAAAAGCACAAAACAGACCTGGAAATTTGCTTCTAAACCCTCAAACCATTTAGAGATTTCTCTACTTGATAACAATGTACATTGTACATAATGTTTTATCAATATATTACTTCGAACATCATGTTAATTGGATAATGCACACAAAAATATACATGAGAAACTCGTGTACAAAACCACGTGGCAACCAATACAAAGATGGCAGCATTCGAGTTTCTTTCAGCCTTTTTATACACCAAGAAAATGGCAACACACACATTCCAAAATGGCATCCTCCTAGTCTAGTGTGCTAGGACTCAAAATCCCAAAGGATTTGCTACATCTTGGGAGTTAAAACCTTAAAGTGCTCTTTAGAACGTTGGCATCTAAAGTCTTTTTGATGCGAGATGACTACATGTCTGCTGCTGCTACACATCACGAAGCAACACAAACATGATTTCCATCCACTGCTGCTGTTAGATCACCTCAGATCAAAAGTGCATCCCACCCCCTACCTCTAGCATACATTCAAAAGTTTTTGTTTCACTCAGCAATGTGGGCGGTGGATCGGGGCGCCTTGTCTGCAAAATCTTCTGTTTGGGATTTTTAGTTTCATCCTCCTCTTCCGTTTCGCTTTCACACACATGGACAACCACGCTGGGTGTGGATTCTGTTCCTGCATGAAGCTCATACTTCTCCCCTAGAAGGAGAACAAGTCACAACATTACAATACCAGCAGAGTAAATACCAGCAGAGTTATCAAACACATAAAGCTTAAAAAACCCCACACTTATTTATTCTAATGTATTTGGGAAATGATGACACATATACATGTGGGCTGCTTCCACACTGTACATAATGGTTTTGTACACGTGGTTTTGTACACGAGTTTCTCATGTATATTTTTGTGTGCATTATCCAATTAACATGATGTTCGAAGTAATATATTGATAAAACATTATGTACAATGTGGGCTGAGATTTTGCAATGCATCCCCTCCACCTGCCCCAACAACAGCAACTTTGGGGGGGCTTCCATACAACACCATCTAGTCCAACCCTCTGCCCAATGCAGGACCAGCCTAAAGCATCTCTGACAAATATTCGTCCAGACTCTTCTTGGAAGCTGTCAGTGAAGGGGAGCTTACCACCTCCCTAGGCAGCTGATTCCACCTTTGAACCACTCTGACTGTGAAAAAGATTTTCCTAATATCCAGTCAATACCTTTCTGCTTGTAATTTAAACCCATTGCTTCGGGTCCTATCCTCTGCTGCCAACTGGAACAGCTCCTTGCCCTCCTCCAAATGACAGCCTTTCAAATATTTAAAGAGAGCAATCATGTCCTCCCTCAATCTCCTCTTCTCCAAACGAAACATTCCCAAGGCCCTTAGCCTTTCCTCGTAGGGCTCAGTCTCCAGACCCCTGATCATCCTCGTCACTCTCTTCTGTACCCTCTCGATTTTGTCCACATCCTTTTTGAAGTGAGGCCTCCAGAACTGCGCACAGTACTCAAGGTGCGGCCTGACCAAGGCAGTATACAGAGGGGCTATGACCTCCTGCGATTTCAATGCTATGGCCCTTTTAATACAACCCAAGAATGAATTTGCCTTTTTTACCACCGCATCACACTGACTGCTCATATTTAGTTTACAGTCCACTCTTACCCCAAGATCTCTTTCGCATACACTACTCCCCAGAAACGTATCCCCCATCCAGTATTTGTGCGTGACATTTTTGTGGCCCAGATGTAATACTGTGCATTTATCTTTGTTGAATTACATCCTGTTTGCAACTGCCCACCTCTCCAGAGTATTCAGGTCTTGTTGAATTTTAACTCTTACCTTCTTGGGTGTTTGCTACTCCTCCCAATTTGGTATCATCAGCAAATTTAATGAGTAGCCCTTCTACTCCTTCATTCAGATCATTGATAAAACTATTGAAAAATACTGGGGCCAAAACCGAGCCCTGTGGCACCTCACTGGACACCTCCCTCCAATCTGATGAAACGCCATTGACCACCACTCTTTGGGTGTGGTCCTCTAACCAGTTCCCTATCCACTGAACTGCCCTATAGTCCAGTCCACAGTCTTTCAGTTTGCCCATCAGAATGTCACATCAACAGAGTTCCCACGATCCCATAAGCTCGTCACATGATCAAAGAAGGAAACCAGTTTGGTCTGACAAAATCTGTTTGGGACAGAACCATGCTGACTTCCCCAGATCACTAAGTGGTCCTTCAGATGGTTACAGATCGATCCCTTTAAAAGCTACTCTAATATCTTCCCAGCAACAGAAGTCAGACTGACCGGCCTGTAGTTTCCCGGGTCATCCTTCTTCCCTTTCTTAAAGATTGGGATAACATTTGCTCTTCTCCAATCTTCTGGCACCCCCCCCCCAGTCCTCAGGAGGCCTCAAAGATGATGGACAGAGGCTCTGCAAGTTCATCAGACAGTTTTTTGAGCACTCTTGGGTACACACCATCTGGCCCAGGGGATTTGTATTCATCCAGTGCAGCCAGATGCCTCTCCACAACCTCCCTGTCAATGTCAACTGGACACTCAGGTGTCCTGTTATGTCCTATACCATCTCTAGATGGGCTCGAGTTCTTCTGGGAGAAAACAGAGGCAAAAAAGTCATTAAGCCTGTCTGCTTTTTCTCTGTCCTCCACCAGAGTTTCTCCTTTACTCCCAAAAGTGGTCCAATTGCCTCTTTTACCTTGTGTTTGCTTCTCACATACCTGTAGACGTTTTTCTTATTGTGGTGAGACCCCCTGGCCAGACCCAACTCATACTGCGCTTTGGTTTCCCTGACGGCTGATCTGCAGTACCTAGTAACTCTTATATACTCCTCTTTAGAGGTCTGACCTTCCCTCCATTTCCTGAACATTTCCCTTTTCTCCTTTAGCTTATTCTGAAGCTCTCGGTTCATCCTCATCAGTTTCTTGGAGCCCTTACCATGTTTCGGTCTTCCTGGAATAGTGAGGTCCTGAGCTCGTAAAAGCTCATGTTTGTCCTTCTGCATGTTTCCCCAAACCTTCTTTGGTAGATTGTACTTAAAGTGGGTTTGGGATATGCATTGACAGGAAGGCGTCACCATTTCCCATCATGTCAGCCATGCCCCTGCCACCACCAGTGCAGTCTTTTTGCAGCTTTTTAATTTTTCAGTTGGTAGTACATGCGTATATAGCAGCATCACAATATAGTGATACATCTACAAGCAATTTTTTTTTTTTAAAGCTGGCAGAAAGCATCCTGGTGTTTGTTGGGGGTGGTGGGGAATGGTGCGTACAAAGAGGTAACACAGAGAATCCCCCAGGTGGATCCTCCTTTGCTGCTGCAAATTCCTCTACATTCGCAGCAGCAATGAGAGCACAATGGGGAACCAACCATGTTGAAGCACAATGCCCTTCGCCTCCAGTCAAAGGGCGCCTTTCAGCCAAGACTTAGTTTTCATGAAGTGCTTCCTTGAACTTGGGAAAATTCAGAAACACACCCAAAATATACCAAAGCAAGTTCAGAGTACCTCAGAATGTATGCAAGTCCTAGAAAAGGCCTTTTCTAACTGGAGTGGCAGTTTCTCCATCCCAAAGTAATTTCAGTTGTTAACACCCGCTATATTTAAGGAATCTGTACTGCTGGCCAATGTTCCCTCTAAGCTGTGGAGTTTTGTGAGTAAAAATTCTACTTTGTGAGCTAACTCAGCTTAGAGCTAACTCAGCTTAGAGGGAACACTGCTGCTGGCTAGTTATATTTCACAGCAAGATGCACCCTAAATACGCCCAAGATGTTTACATCCCCCTTGATCAACCCTACTCTAAGTTTAACAAAAACCTATCTTCTAAAGGATTTATTAGTGCTACAGTCAGGAATTTGCCATCATTACATGCAGTATTTTCCAGAATAAAAGTTTCAGAAGCATACTGGCAGGGTAACCCATGTAGTCAGTAGTATGATGCCATCAGAATCACAATATGACTTCCTATGGATAATCAGACAGCCAGTGCCAAACTGGCAAGAGTGCTTCTAGCCACTGAATTTTGCAGAAGAAAACGTGAGGACACATTCCTTGAGGTACATAACAGGTGAGAAGAATTAGAGGTGGCAGGATTGGGAGAAAGTGAAACAATATCACTTATGGATGTCTACCTTCTGGAGTACTAGTATACCGCCCTCAGAGTTTCTTTGAGGGAGTATGTATCCTCCTCCCCACAACACACCCCTGCAATCTTGAGTCTCGCAGACACAGACATAGAAACTTGTAAGGTTTTTTTGGGGGGGAGGGGAATCTCTTCAATTTGTAAAACTTGAGCTTTCTTGTTACACATTCTACATACAGCCCTTTATCACAGTTCTGAAAGCAAATCCTGCCCACTCCAATGTGACCTATGAGGGTGGAGAGGGAGAAGGAAGAGAACCAGTAAAGTTCCTCTTCCTAGGAAGAACTCTTCTTCTCTTGGCTACTCGCCTGTGGTACTTATGAGCCTGCTTGATCACTTTTGTTAAACAAAGAGATAGAGAAAGTAGAGCAGAAAGTTGGAAAACATTCCATACCAGGCCCCAATTTTGAAACTGCACAGAGCAAGTCATAGTTTATCATGGGTGTGGCATCTTCACTCGGCTTCCATCCTACAGGTGGAGAGGCAGGTGGTGAGATCAGAAACTGTTTGACAGGCTGTGGGGGCAGGAGGTAAGATTTGTCTCCCACATCACTGGGCATCTGAACCTGAAAAAAAGCAAACACAACCACAACAGTAATGCAAAGCTACAATTTTCAGATCTCACTTCTGAGCAGCAAGAAGAACATTCCTCCTTAGCAGAGTTTTGTTAATCTAGCATCTCATCCTGTCTCACTCCAGAACTTTCCGTGACTGGAAAAGTCATGTGGATATGAAACGCACAGTTTCTTCCCCTTTGCTTCGTTTAGTTAAACATTGACAATGTACTTGGCACTGAACTCTTAACCAAAACTACTCTGAGTGCAGAGGATTATGGATTAACTGATCAGTATACTTCATCATGAATATAGGCAATATAAGCATGCATACATGTCAGAGGTATAAAATCATATTAATTGATCCCTTGCCCTACACGTCTATGAGGAACACATAGGCTCTGTATACACAACTTTTTACCAGGAAAGCTTTCTGTCCCCAGGACACCAACTGTTTTAGGGTGGGTTGTCCTAAAGGATTCACAAGCTACATGTGGCAATCGTACATTTATTCCTGCAATTAAAAAAAAAATGGAATTCATGCAACCTGTAAGAAAAGTCTCTCACCACATTAAGCTGCAGGACAGGCAGAGCTTGTCATTACATTGCTATTGAAGGAAAAGTTATTTTAATTTATTTTACTAATTTTTAATTAGCAAAAGAAATGTCTATAGATTAGCATCTTTTCTTTCCATAGCTTAAAAAAGATCAAGTATTAAGTAATTCACAGAATCCACTGCCTAAGTATTGCCAATCATTATATTAATATAAAATGTGGCAGAATTCACAAACAGTAAGAAAGACAGGCATAAATTCTAATACGAGGTGCTTGCTCCAGGGTTGCATCAGGGAGAAAGGAAGAGGCCAACATACCTGAGCAAAATACAGCTTCAACTTTTTCCCACCAAAGTCAGTCTCATGTAGTTCTATCCGTGCCCTTGCTGCTGCTTCCGGATTGCTAAAGTTTATCCTTACTCTTTTAAAACTTTTAAATAGCTGGAATGTAACATGATCATCATAGACGGAGAAAAGCGCTTCAAATCGTTCCTAAGGGTAAAAGAGAGAGCACTTTTTTCTTTTTAAGCTTTTTCCAATCTTACCACTTCTGGCTATCAGTGTGCAGCGTCTTTTAGTAGAGCGCTACCCAGCAATTTTAGTGAGCCTCTGCTGAAACAGACAAAAGGCAACAGCCTCCAATAAATGTAAGCACTGATTTATTCTTGAATTCTGTGTAGATGTACATAAAAGGGCACATCAGGTACTATTAATTATTAATTTTTAATGATTTATAGTCCATCTTTCTCACTAAGACTCAAGGTAGGTTAAACACTGCAAATCACTACAAATAACAGGCTGGGAACCAATAAACAATGCAATAGGGTTTGGATTGCAGAAATTTGGTACAGAGGTTATACAAAACATAAGCATTTCAACATGACATATCAAACAATGCAGAAATTACCTAGTAGGAGCATACTTACAGCAACAGATAGAGCAGAGTAGCATAGTCCACAGTCCCTATCCCTTTACCAAAGTATCTTTCTGGACCATTTCATTATAGTACAACTCTATTACCTGTGTAAAGAAGCCTTCATGAATAATTCAGCTTTGCATCAGAAAGCCACAAAAGAGGGAGCCTTCAGGCAGCCCATTCTATGAGGTGGGGGCATAAGCAGACAATGCATGTATATGGACAGTTGTTGATTTTGACCATTTGCAGGGTGGTGCCTACAGAAGGTCCTGCTCAGATGAGTGAAGCTGTCATGGTGGAGCATGGAGAAGCAGCGATACCGCAGATATGAGGGACCAAGCCAATGGAGGGTTTTGTATGTGATTGCCAATACCTTTAATTGAGCCTGGTAACTCATAGGCACCCTGACCTGGATAGCTCAGGCTAGCCCAATCTCATGAGATCTCGGAAGCTAAGCAGGGTCAGCCCTGGCTAGTATTTGGATGGGAGACCATCAAGGAATACCAGGTTTGTGACACAGAGGCAAGCAATGGCAAACCACCTGTTAACGTCTCTTGCCTTGAAAACTCTATGGGGTCACCATGTCAGCTGTGACTTGTTGGCACTTTCCACTGCCAACTGATGGGCAGCCAATGGAGTGATAAGAACATAAGAGAAGCCAATGTTGGATCTGGCCAGTGGCCCATCCAGTCCAACACTCTGTCACACAGTGGCCAAAAATACCAGGTGCCATCAGGAGGTCCAGCAGTGGGGCCAGGACACTAGAAGCCCTCCCACTGTCTCCCCCCCCCCAAGCACCAAGAATACAGAGCGTCACTTGCCCCAGCCTGAGAGTTCCTATCTATACCTTGTGGTTAATAGCCACTTCTGCTCCACATGTTTATCTAATTCCCTCTTGAAGCTGTCCATGCTTGTTGCCACTGCCATCTCCTGTGGCAGTGAATTCCATGTGTTAATCACTCTTTGGGTGAAGAAGGACTTCCTTTTATCTGTTCTAACCCGACTGCTCAGCAATTTCATTGAGTGCCCACGAGTTCTTCTATTGTGAGAAAGGGAGAAAAGTACTTCTTTCTCTACCTGCTCTATCCTATGCATAAGCTTATAAACCTCGATCATGTCACCCCTCAGCCATCATTTCTCCAAGCTAAAGAGCCCCAAGCGTTTAAACCTTTCTTCATAGGGAAAGTGTTCCAACCCTTTTATCATTCTAGTTGCCCTTTTCTGCACTTTTTCCAGTGCTATAATATCCTTTTTGAGGTGTGGTGACCAGAACTGTACACAGTACTCCAAATGAGGTTGCACCATCTATTTATACAGGGGTGATTTATGCAGATTGCTGAATGGGAGTAATACGCACGTGGCGCCAAGCTTTTGATAAGAATCGAGCTGCGGCATCCTGCACCAACTGGAGACTCTACATTGACTTTGAGGGGAGACCTATGTACTGTGAATTAAAGTAGTCTAGTCCTGATGTTACTGTGGCATAGATCCAGGTGGTCAGATTGGCTATGTCAAAGGAGGGGGTCATCTCATGGAACAAGGTGTTTTTTGCAGCTGCATTAACTTGCTTCTCCAGCTGGATCCAGTATAATCCCAAGGTTCTTAACAGAGTCAGCTGAACTCCATTAGAAGTGGGAAAAACAATGTCCTTCAAGATCTCCACCTTCCCAACCAGCATCACTTCTGTCTAGTCTGGGTTCAATTTTAATTTGTTCACGTTCAGCCCTCTGACACCACCCCCTGTATGGAAGGCCTGATCACTACATCGTAACATCACTATAATGGCGACCTGAGTAGGCATAACATTTCCTTTGTGGCTGACTTGAGCAGGAGAAGACGACGGGTCTCTTTCTTTCTCCCGGACTGGTTTTCTCGTCGCAAAAACGAGGGAGGATTACTGGAGTTGGTTTTGGGGTTTGTTGTTTTTGTTTTGTTTTTTCCACAGTGGCCGTCTCGGAAGGAAGAGATTGGAGGGAGGGGAAAAGTTAAAATGACTGGAGCGGGATGGGATGGGACGGAGCCCAGCGAGCGGAAACATTTCCCCTGCTTTCTGAGCGACCCAGGGCTTTCTGGGGTTGCTGTTGGGGGTTTTTTGAATTTTTTTTACACAGTGATCGTCTGTATTTTCACAGAAGAAAGAGGTGGGTCGATTCCCCGAAGCTTCCCTTTTCCTCCCTCCCCCCCCCATCTTTGCAATAGAGAGACTCTGGCTAGGTGGAGGTTGGGGGAGGGGAAGCAGTTGCTGCTGAAATGGGACTGAGAAGGAGTCTATATTTTCCTCTAATTTACTCAAAGGAAGTTCCATTGGAAGACTGATGCCAAGTGGTGCTTCTGACATTTGCCAGGCATTGGGAGAAATGTTCACTTTGACTCCTAATTATGAGTGGAGCTAAATAACATATGCGGAGCTACAAACGGCAGGGTGAAAATTGCCCTTTTCTTTCCTTTTTAAAAATCATATGTGTTGGGGTTTTTTTTTGGGGGGGGGGAATAATTCCACCAGGCCAGAAAATGAAAGGCTGGAGGCTGAAATGGACTTGCACAGATCTGCTTTGAGATTATACCTGGAGATTATAATTGAAGTTTACTGTATGTGAAAATGTCTTACCTAAGTATGAGTTTGTACATATTAACAGTTGGTAGCAGTCAATACATTCCTAAACAACTATTGTAAAAGAGAAAATGGGCAAAGACTGTCACAAACATCACAGAGGAAACTGAAAACTTTACAGAAGTGATGTGGTTGCCTTTCACATATATTTGCCCCTGAACTGCAACAACGTGAGTTGAAATGACAACTGGGGAGATTTAGATTCATTGAAGGCCACAATGTTTCTATATTTTCCTCTAATTTACTAATTTACTCAAAAGAAATTCCATAGGAAGATTGATTGTTGTTGTACTCTGTATTACAGTTGTTGGTTCCCTTGAATGTTTGTGAATGTACACCAATATCCTGTGTAGCTGGGGGTTTTTTGGGTCACTGGAGATTATGATTGAAGTTTACTGTATGTGAAAACTTCTTACCTAAGTATGAGTTTGTGCATATTTCTATCTCATGCTGTGTCAATGGTAAATAAAAAGTAATACTGAAAACCAGAAGTTATTTGACAATACCATCATACAACAGACATCCACCACTTTCCCCTATTATATGCTTGTAAATTATACGAAACATGCACTCAAATATGCAAGGGAAACTTAACTCAGTAACACTGTAAGCTAGTGGTAAGTGTCTGGAATACTGCAGTGAAAGAATCAAGAGAATATCTTGTTGGGTACACGAGAAACTGCAAGTTAAAACACTTGTGACAGTAGCTGGAAACTGCAGAGCTCAGGGAATGTTATGCCTACATTTGATGACGTCACGACGTAGTGATCAGGCCTTCCATATAGGGGGCAGTGCCTCTGACCACCCCAGTCAGGCAGTAGCTCAAGGTAAATGTACAAAACAGTGCCCTCTACTGGCAGCTATCAATATTTTAGGCTAAAGTATTACATTTGTTGTTCAGTTGCACAGTCGAGTCCAACTCTTCGTGACCCTATGGACCACATCGTGCCAGGCCCTCCTATCTTCCACCGTCCTCTGAAGTTTGCTCAATTTCATGTCTGTTACATCATTAACACCGTCTAACCATCTCATCCTTTGCCATCCCCTTCTTTTACCTTCAGTCTTTCCCAGCATCAGGGTCTGCTCCCTTCTCATTTGGTGGCCAAAGTATTTGAGCTTCAGCTTCAGGATCTGGCCTTCCAAGGAACAGTCAGCGTTGATCTCCTTTAGGATTGACTGATTCGATCTCCTTGCAGTCCAAGGGACTCTCAAGAGTATTACATACTGCCACTGTTTAAATGCTATATTTTTGAATAGTTTAAAGAGTTGCTGTATTACATGAAATTTACATCCCTACCTCTAAATTAATCCACAGATGTCATGGCTCAGTTGGGATCTGAATCCAAGTGTCTTAAGGTGTGAGGGGAAAGCTGCATTCAAAATCATGTTACACAATTCGATCAGCAAGTTGTTCTGTCAACTCATGCAGCTTCTCCTATGACCCTGCCTTCCCCAGCCTTTCTATAAGGCAGATGCAGCATAGTGCTCGATATTCATTGGGATTGAGCTAGAATGCTGAACAGACAAATATTCCATGAAATCAAAAATGCGCGTGTGTAAGCAGCTCCCTATCTTTCTGTTGTAATCTAGGATCCTCCTACAGCAATGGTAGGAGCGACACCCACTTGCTCCCAAGCCTTGTAAAAGTCAGGATTTTACAGGCAACACAATCCTTTCCTGAATGCAGGCACTCTCTGTTCCATAATTTTCCACTGGCAGCTTGTGTGTAGCTTCTCGTACAGGCCATGTGCTATAGCTGCACACATTTCTGATCTAATCCCAGAACTCCCACGTAACATGCAGCTACACGTACCATGTAATTTAACTTCAAGTACAGGGCAGCCATCCTAGATCTCATGCTGAGGGTCCTAGACTGCCCTGCTGAAACCATGGCGACTACGCCCCACACTGCCCTACAGCTGAGACTCAAGCAGCACAATCAACTGTAAAGCGGTGGGATTCCCA